CCGCCCCCTCCCAGCCCCCAGCCCTGGGTTGTTTTAAAGCAAACCCCAGATGTCATGTTATCTCATGTAAAAAAAAAATACAGTACACAGCTCTAAAATACAAGCATTTTTTTTTAAAAAAGAAAGAACTGCATTATCATCACACCTAAAGAAATTTGTCTCCTTATTATTCTCAAATATCCAGTTAGCCTTCAATTTCCTTGGCTGTATCAGCACTGTTTTTATGTATTTTTTCCCAATTGGGATCCAAATAAAATCTGTATTTTGATTGATAAGTATCTTAAATCTTCTAAAAATACCTCCCCATTTATTTATTTTTCCTTGCAATTTATTTGTTAAAGAAACAGAGTCATTTCCCTCTTTATATTTGGAAAGAGGGTAGTGAAGTTCCAAATTACTAGAACCATTTTGAAATCAGGATGAAATGCTCCACATTAAAAAAAAGACAGGGCTCGAGAGGGAGCTATTCCATGTTGTGAATTAAGTCACCTTGTCGCCCTTGCCGGTTTTGCTCAGTGGTTAGAGCACCGGTCCATGGACCAAAGAGTCGTGGGTTTGATTCTGGTCAAGGGCACGTACCTCGGTTGTGGTTTGCCCCTGGCCCTGGTCGGGGTCGTGCGGGAGGCAACTGGTCAATGCGTCTCTCTCACATCAATGTTTCTCTTTCTCTCTCCCTCCCTTTCTCCCTCCTTTCCTTCCTCCCACTCTGACCGAAGATAAATGGAAAAGTATCCTCGGGTGAGGATTAAAAAAGAACGTCCCCTTGTCAGGGAGGCCCTCCCTGGCCACCTTATGAGCAGTTCTGACGTGTTGCAAACCCTCGACACTTTAACCCCCTTCCCTGCTCACTTTCCTCCCGCACCTCGCCCTCTCCGGGCTCTGCGCTCTGTCTACCTGCACGCTGTCTGCCTCCCGTGCGTGCGTTCCCGAAGCGAGGGCGTGCGGGGCTTGTTCTCGCAGCATCCCCAGCGCTGGGTAGGTGGACGGGGAAAGCTGAGGCCGCACAGAAACGGGGGGAGGCCGGAGGGACCCGAGGGTGACCACGGAAGTATCTCCACGCACTCACCTCTCCGATTCCTGGTATGCCCTGACTCAGCCCTCTGTGCAGTCCCGTGAGAAGCTCGGGGAGGGACGCCTCTGCCGTCACTCCGCGATGGAGGGACCTGTCTGCCGATGCCAACGTGGCCTGCTGGCCCTTTCGCCCCATTGCAGGTGGAGGCACCATCAGCCATGGGCTGGTTGACCCGTGTCGTCCACACAGCCTGTTGTTTGGGGTGGAGGCTCTATCAGCCATGGGCTGGTTGACCCGTGTCGTCCACACAGCCTGTTGTTTGGGGTGGAGGCTCTATCAGCCATGGGCTGGTTGACCCGTGTCGTCCACAGAGCCTGTTGTTCAGGGTGGAGGCGCCATCCGCCATGGGCTGGTTGACTGTGTCGTCCACAGAGCCTGTTGTTCAGGGTGGAGGTGCCATCTGCCATGGGCTGGTTGACTGTGTCATCCACAGAGCCTGTTTGGGTGGAGGCGCCATCAGCCATGGGCTGGTTGACTGTGTCGTCCACACAGCCTGTTGTTTGGGGTGGAGGCGCCATCCGCCATGGGCTGGTTGACTGTGTCGTCCACACAGCCTGTTGTTTGGGGTGGAGGTGCCATCTGCCATGGGCTGGTTGACTGTGTCATCCACACAGCTTGTTTGGGTGGAGGCGCCATCTGCCATGGGCTGGTTGACTGTGTCGTCCACACAGCCTGTTGTTTGGGGTGGAGGCGCCATCCGCCATGGGCTGGTTGACTGTGTCGTCCACACAGCCTGTTGTTTGGGGTGGAGGCGCCATCTGCCATGGGCTAGTTGACTGTGTCGCCCACACAGCCTGTTGTTTGGGTGGAGGCGGTCCTTCCAGACCATCACCACTAGTGTGCAAAGGTCCTGTGAAGAGGATGATCATTGTAAACAGATAATCTTGATTCAAAACATGGTTGGTTCTCCACCTGTATTGTGGTTGGACACAGTCTGACTGGGAACCCACAGGCTGGGCTGGGAAGGCCTGAGTGAGTCAGCGCTGTGGTATCAGCCCGCAGGGTGGCCCGGGGTGGGGGTGGGGGGACGCCACTGCGCCTCAGCCTTCCCACATTTCAAATGGGGACAGTATCCTCTCGGTTCCCCGGGGTGGTTGCAAGCTGTTGTTATTGTTACGAGTTTTTCCGGCTGTCCAGTGATGTGGGGGCGTTAGTACAAATCCTTCCATCAGCCTGCAGGAAGGCAGTGTTCTGGTCTCTGGGAGTGGCGAGGGTGACAGTGGCCGAGGAGACAGAGGGCAGAGAAGGCCCAAAGGGGCTGGGGGAGGGAGTATGGCTGAGTGTCGGCCCCTCGCCTGCTGTGGGGTAGGGAGAGGAGATGAGAGGGGCTGTTGCAGCGGCGTGGAGCTGACACACCTCCCCCATCCCTCCCCGTTCCTGCCACGCTGACCGAGAATGCATGACCAGCATGACTGATCCGTGTGCCCATTCCTCGTCCGGACATATGTGTTTCTCCCCGTAGGGTGTGAAGCATCTGGAGGCAGGACATGGCAGTGGGCAGCATTCAGCGGCCCCTCCCTGCTGTCTCCCTGCCCCCAGCGAGCCACGTCTGCGGCTCCAAGGATGGTGTCGTGTGTCTATTTCTCGGGGATGGAGATTAGGATTTTTACTGCTGCTGGTCCCAGACTGGTACATTTAGAACATTTTCTGGGCACTATGAAGTTCAGAAAGGACCCCTGATTTTTGTTTGTTTCACTCTCTAGATTTATGGCAGCCACTAGCCATCGGTGACTAAGTTTAAATTCAAATAAGATAAAATTAAATACAAATTTAAATCCAGCTCCTCAATCATACAAGCCGTATTTCAGGAGCTCAGTCAGCACACGGGGTGGTCGCTGCTGAGTTAGACGACGGAACCGCCCGTCGCAGCCCCGTGCTCCGGTGAGCGGCTCCGGAGACCTTTCTAGTCCAAGGCCGGTGACTGGGGAGGGAGCTCCCCAGCGCGCAGGAGAAAGATGAGGGGCCGACAGTGAAAAATCAGCTACTGCAAGTTTTACCTCGTGTCCTTCTCACGGTAAAGCACTTCTCGAAGTAAGTTCTTACTTCAGGGGGAGACGTCAGGTTCCACGTGTTGACACATTCCCTTTGAAGGTCGTCCCCGGAGCGCTCTCAACTACTGAGTCACTCATCACCTTTCAGCACATTGTCAGGGACACAGGATGCCCGCGGCTTAGCCAAGACACGGCCTTCCCGCCCGGCCTCACGCTGCCGGAAGGTCCCTCTGGGAGAAGGACGAGATCAGAAACGTTTGTAGCAACAGGAGACATCGGAGTCAGTGGGAAAAGAACTTCTCACCACGGTTGGTTTGCCGCTTGTAATTCTCCGAGAAGAAGGAAAAAGGGCCCTGGCTGGTGTGGCTCAGTAGGTTGAGCATCCTCCCGTGCACCGAGAGGTCACCGGGTCGATTTCCAGTCAGAACACATGCCTGGGTCGGTGCACTGGGTCGATTTCCAGTCAGGACACATGCCTGGGTCATGGGTTCAATCCCAGTAGGGGATGTGCGGGAGGCAGCATTAATGTTTCCCTAACTCTCTCCCTCTCCCTTTCTCTCTCTTAAACCAATAAAAACAAATTTTGAAAAAAATAATTCCTATCTATACAAAAAAGAAAGCCTTGGGTGAAACAGATGCTTTCTTAGAATGTCCGCTGCATGCTTTTCGGTTCCACCTGGTGGCGTCTGGCAGCAGAGCCAGGACTGGGGGACCTAGGGAGACACTCATGCTCAGGGGCCGACCTTGTACTTGTGCAGACCCTGGGTGAGTGTCTCCTTTAAATTTCGCGTCCTGGGCACCTGGTTTGTAACTTTAGCTCCGTCCTGGCTGGCTCTCTGCATGGTTGCCGAGACTCCAGATTTGCACACAGCTCATCTGTCACCTGCAGCCTCATACTGTGTCTGTATCCCTCCCCTCGCCGGATCCCCTCAGGTAGGGCCTGGGTCTCTCGGCTCTTTGTACGCCTGGCCTAGAGTGGAGGGCAGGTAAGTGGCTGCTGGATCAGTGAGCGAGTCCGTCTGTCAGGGATCAGCTCTCTTGTCTTAGACTTTTCCATGAACAGTTCAGACGACATCCTGCATTGTCACCTGCCGACTTCCACATTTCCGCACAGGAAGTTCTCTCAGCCGAGAGTCCTCTCTTCACCGTGGCGATGGGTGGGCCCCGGCCACCCCACTCGCCCTTCCCCAGGATCCTGACACTTTCAGTCGGGCTGAGTCACCGCACTAGAGAGCTGCCTCTGAGAAAGGTTTCCTTCTCTCCTTAAAGCGCAACATCAGGTTGAAAATCATGGCTTAAACTGTATTTTGTTCAAATGCGGTAAAAATGGCCCTGGCCGGTTTGGCTCAGCGGTTAGAGCGTCAGCCTGCGGTCCTGAGAGACCCGGGTTCGGTTCCCGCTAAGGGCATGTACCTCGGTTGCAGTTTGTCCCCGGCCCTGGTCGGTTGTGCAGGTGGCAGCCACTCGATGTGTCCCTTTCACATCGATGTTTCTCTCTCTCTCTCTCTCTGTTCCTCTCTCTCCCTCCCACTCTACCTGAACAAAAAATGGAAAAATGTCCTCGGGTGAGGGAAAAAAAAAAAAAGTGGTAAAAATGTTTCTGTAAATCGTTATTGTTTCCTCCTGGAATTGGTTTGGGGGGTAAGTCTTCAATCTCTCTCTCACCCAAGCTCGTGTCTCAGAAGGCCTTTTGTATTGGCTTTGCCCCCTTTCTTCCCCAGTTAGAAAACGTTTGCATGAATTAGTAAATAAGTTTACAAAAACTCTGCCTCCTCCAGACTGCATGTCACATGTCAGCCCACAGCCAGACTGTCCTAGGAGCACGTGCCGGGCCTGGGCGCCATGATCTGGGGAGGAAGGGGGCACAGAAGCCAGCGCCCGGGGCTGGGAGGCCCCTTTGTGAACTCTGTCACATGCTTCCCTTTCTCCTTCCACAGACCGTGTTGAAGAAGAGGGACCAGGTGCAAGCCGAGTACGAAGCCAAACTGGAAGCTGTGGCCCTGAGAAAGGAGGACCGCCCCAAGGTCAGGGAGCCCCGGGAGGGTGACTGCCCCGGGCTGCGGGCTGGGCGCCCAGTGAATCCTGTCCCTGGATGCGGAGCACCGGGGTGCTCGGTGCCCGCTGGGCTGTGATGCCACTGTTACCTCTCTCTGCTCCCTTTAAGTCTTATTTCTGGGGCTTCGTAATGTGCACTTGGGTTGAGTTTCCTGCTCTTTCCTGGGAGTGATTATTTCTCAAGACTTCCAGCGCTGCTGATCATAGGCAGTTCTCTGTGTGGATGGGACTGGGGAGGGGGAAGAACAGTCTCAGTCAGGGCTCTCAAGTGTGGTTTGCAGACTGGCCCAGCAACCGCCACCAGTCCCTGACGGGACCAGTACAGAAGCTGAGAGAGGCTCAGGACGAGTGTGTCACGCGAGTGTGGAGAGTCGCCCATGGAGCGAGCTGCATGCGGGTTGTGCCCTGTTGGGGAAAAAAGCCAACAAAAAACGAGAAGCACTGATGCAGCTTAGGCTGCCGTCCAGCTCCCGTGCTGTGGGTCCAGAGGATCACAGCTGTCAAACTTTCGCTGTGGAGTTGGCGGCTCCCACTTGTGGTCTCTCCCTTCCCCCAGGCAGCCAGGGTTAAAAACGAGAGTGATAGCAGCCAGCATGCGAGTGCTTGCCATGTGGCTAGCGCTTTCTGTTTGTATTTTCTCATGTATTCCATACAACTGTCTCGTGGTTCCGGGGCCGTCGTCATTCCCATCGGCAGGTGGGCAGACCGAGGCCCGAGGTCACGCAGCCAGCAGGGGCGAGAGCCCGGATTCCAGTCCGACTTAGAACCTAGCCAGCCATCAGGATGTCACTCTGCCCCTTCCTGTTTGTAATTGGAAGATGTCTTTGTTTTCAAAAAAGAGAGGGGGTGCGGGGTAGGGAATGTTATTAGATTAATTTTTAAGGAAATAGTTTGACGTCAGAACTGTTTGTTTGGTTTCCCTCCTCCGCCTGGGTCCTCATTGCTGCCTCTGTGCTGAAATACACCGACAAAGGAACTGGCTTTGGGAATCTGAAACCCAGACCTCAGCAATGGCACCCCGACTCTGCACAGGACTTCTATGTGTTCATTGCTTCACACAATCACCCCAGCAGCCATCTGAGCCCCAGAGGGAAGGCCCTGTGCTTTCCTCTTGTCATAGATGAGGAAACAAGACACAAAGCAGCTCAATAAATTGCCTGGTTTTGTTGATGCCAAAGGGGTTTATCCAGTGTGCTCGACACAGCAGCTAGGAATACACCCGTCGCATTGTGTCATGTGTCACCCACGTGTCTGGACGAGAGTGAAGGCTGCATCGTTTTCACGGAGAGCCAGATGATAAAGATGGGGACTCCTGTCACTGGCCCGGGGTGTGCAGCTGGAACTTGGCCCGAGAGCTAGGCACCCTCTTCCGTCCTGTGTGTCACGAGGGAGGAGATGATGGAAATACAGCTGTGTACAGCTGTGCCCACAGCTGCGCTCTACCTCTCTGCTGCCGGTCCCATTGCAGTCTGGTTGTCCCTGGTGCTGTCTGCTGAGCCCGTGTCTCAGTCTCATATAAAGGGTTGACACCGAACCCGGGCTGGGTGGCTCAGTTGGTTGGAGCATCATCCTGTACACCAAAAAAAGGTTGAGGGTTTGATTCCCGGTCAGGGCATATATCTAGGTTGTGGGTTTGATTCTGGCCTGGGCGCGTGTGGGAGGCAACCAGTGGATGTTTTTTTCTCTTCTTCTCTCCCTAAAAATCAGCAAAAACATATCCTCTGGTGAAGATTAAAAAAACAAAAACAAAAGGAATGACACAATACCGTATTTATATATTTTAAATTTTCATTGTTACAATTTAGCTGCCAAATATAAATATAGATGTTACTATCCTGGCTAGGGAGGGAAGGAGAGATAGCAGGTTCTGCCACTGGTCTAGTTTGGAAGCTGAGGATCCAGTATTTAATGTGTCGCTTAAATAGTTCTGTCAGCATCTATACCTGCTCAGCCCTGAATACAGGTTTCTCAGAGGCTGGCTTTGTCATTTAATATATGTTCAGCCCTGTGTGGGACAGTTTCTTTCCAAAGACAGGACCTGAAGGGTGTGAAGAATAGGTCGAATTAAATCTTGACCGTGCCCTGGCTTGCTGGCTGCAGTTGACACCTGCCTTGGGACAGGGGGAGCAGAGGGAACAGCTGTTTCCGGCTCCCGAGTTTCATCCAGTCAGCCCAGCTGTGTGTGTGTGTGTTGGGGGGAGGTGCTCCTGCCTCATGCTCTCCCCTTCCTGCTGGCCTGGGTGACTTCTCTTCTCCCAGTGGGGATTGAAATCTTCCCTGGAGCATCACTGACCCATACGACTCAGCCTCTTGGCCGCAGGAGCTCTTACAAGGGGAGAAGGTTTCTTTCCAGCCTACGAGATGAGTCAGTGGGTCCAAGCACAGCTGCATTCTCTAGGCCATGGGCAGGCAGTCTTCACTTCCTCCTTCCTGGTGGGATGCTGAGCCTTGCCCAGTTAACTTGCTAGCTCTTTAGCAGCGGTGCTATTCAACAGAGAGCAGGGACTGTCACGATGGAAGCCGTAACAGTCGGGCAGCGGAAATTGTACCTCCGATTTGGGATCCGGGGCAGCAGGTCCTTTGGTGGTGGAGGAGGGGGCTCCTTTGTCAGCCTGTCCGAGTCAACTGTGGTTCAGTAGAAAGAGCACAGGATTTTGAATCGGACAGCCCTGGCTTCAGATCCCAGTGCTGTCCCCAGCTTGGACGGGTCTGCGCATTAGCCTTTGTGGGGTTCAGAGACGAGATTGCCGTGCGGATGCAAAGATGGGCATAGTTGGATGCGGTCCCGGGTGCTCCCTGGGTGGAGCCTCTGCTTCCCATTCGAGCTCCAGTGGGCGCCGTGGGCACGCTGAACAGGTTTTCTGAGTTTGTTGTCACTTACGGTAGAACATTTTTCGTCTGAGCATACCCGTTTGGGCATCATTTCTCCACGTCCTGAAGCTCCTCCTGCTCTCCCTCTCCTGCCGACCACCTGTCCTCCTGACCACCAGCGGCAGACAGACGTCTAGGGAGCGGGGCTAAGCTTCCGCTGTGCTTTGTCTTATGTGGGTTTGAGCCCCGCTTCCCCGAGCTGCTGTCGGTGAGACGAACGCCAAGGTGCCAGGAAGTGGGTCAGGCCGGACCGGACCCGAGGCGCACTGAGTTCTGCTGTTAGTAAGTCGCAGAGGGAGAGGATCAACAGCTCCGGCCCAGGAGGAGGGATGGAGGGGACGGGGAGTTTCCACAGGGGCGGGTCCAGATCTGGGCAAGTTGACAGATCAGAGAGGGGCCAGGGGCTGACCTTGTCCTGAGGTGAAATCTTGAAAAATTGTTCTGAAGACTGAGAAAAGGTTGATTTTTGTGAAGCCATGGAATAGTAGCAAGATCTGACCGCTTCTCCATAACCCAGAGGGAGGAAATGGCCTGGCGGGCCTCCATGGCCCCTGTGCACTTCACCCTGGAGCGACGTGGTGGAGGGGGGGCCCCGGGCCAGCTGCGGGCGGCCTGTGCGGCTGAGGGCAGATGTCCGCGCCAGAGGGTGTCAGGCTCTGCGGGCGGCCTGTGCGGCTGAGGGCAGATGTCCGCGCCAGAGGGTGTCAGGCTCTGCGGGCGGCCTGTGCGGCTGAGGGCAGATGTCCGCGCCAGAGGGTGTCAGGCTCTGCGGGCGGCCTGTGCGGCTGAGGGCAGATGTCCGCGTCAGAGGGTGTCAGGCTCTGCGGGCGGCCTGTGCGGCTGAGGGCAGATGTCCGTGCCAGAGGGTGTCAGGCTCTGCGGGCGGCCTGTGCGGCTGAGGGCAGATGTCCGTGCCAGAGGGTGTCAGGCTCTGCGGGCGGCCTGTGCGGCTGAGGGCAGATGTCCGCGCCAGAGGGTGTCAGGCTCTGCGGGCGGCCTGTGCGGCTGAGGGCAGATGTCCGCGCCAGAGGGTGTCAGGCTCTGCGGGCGGCCTGTGCGGCTGAGGGCAGATGTCCGCGTCAGAGGGTGTCAGGCTCTGCGGGCGGCCTGTGCGGCTGAGGGCAGATGTCCGCGTCAGAGGGTGTCAGGCTCTGCGGGCGGCCTGTGCGGCTGAGGGCAGATGTCCGCGCCAGAGGGTGTCAGGCTCTGCGGGCGGCCTGTGCGGCTGAGGGCAGATGTCCGCGTCAGAGGGTGTCAGGCTCTGCCTTGTCTTTAGGTTGAGGAAGCGCAGGTTTATTTTCAGGCAGAGGGAGCCAGGGAGCTTTGATGGCGCAGACTTGGCTTTCCTCATTTTAATGTTGAAGTTGGAGAAATTACAGGCCCTTCGTCAGGGGCAGCTGCCTCCTGCTGGATCTGCCAGGGCCACAGGCTGTGTGACCCCCCAGGGAGGGTATCAGAGCTGTTCCTGGAAACAGAGGGGCAGGAATCGCATTTAAAACGAGACAGGATGTCCGGGCCAGTTTGCTCAGCGGTTAGAGCATACCTAGGCCCTCGGACCTAAGCATCTCGGAGTTGATTCCCGGTCAAGGGCACGTATCTGGGTTGCAGGTTCGACCCCAGCCCTAGTCTCCAGGGTCCTGTGGGAGGCAACCAATCGATGTGTCTTTCTCACTTGAGAAATTGATTTTCTCTCTTTCTCTTTCTCTCTCCCTCGCTCCCCCCTCCTTCCCTTCCACTCTATCTAAAAGTCAATGGAAAAATATCCTCGGGTGAGGATTAACAACAACAACAACAAAAACTTAAATTAAATTTAAAAAAAATAATGAAATGGGACAGGAATGTGAACTTTGAGGTTGGACTGTGAAGGGAGCTTGAAGTTTATTCTGCATTTGACTCTTTTTTTTTTTTATCCTCACCCGAGGACCTTTCCCCACTTCTTGTTCAGATAGAGTGGGAGGGAGGAGGGGAGAGAGAGAGAGAGAGAAACATCGACGTGAAAGGGACACATCAAGTGGTTGCCACCCACACGACCCAACCAGGGCCGGGGACAAACTGCAACTGAGGTACATGCCCTTAGCGGAACCGAACCCAGAACTCT